GGCCCGTGCCACTGGGCCAAAGAGCCGCATGTGGCTTGCGAGCCACGGTTTGCTGACCACTGACCTAGAAGATAAGATATTGCTGACTTTATTGCTGGGTCTGTTGGCCTGATGTTATCAATCATTTCATTTAATCATTCATTCATTCATTCACTGGGCACCTATTATGTTGGGATTGTATTTGTCACTGTAGGGAATTAAAGGTGATTAATACATGGCCCTTATTTAAATTTGTAATTCTAGTGGCTATTGTATAAAATACCCTTAGATTTGGCCTGTACTATAATAATGTGTTGATCTCTTAATTATTTCACATCCAAAAGGTCCAGTTATTATTGTCATGTTCATATATGTAATTTGCATCTTCAGTGTTCTGGGTACTGAATTTAATGTACTTCCAATGCATTTAGACAGATTATAACCCCTAAAAGATAAAATTTTATAAATGTAAATATAAAATGTTATGGTAAACAACTTTATCAAATACTTTTTGTAGGGTTACAATTGGGTTTTAATCATATCACCCTCTTTTCTTTCATCTGATTCCTTCTTTATTTGGGAGAAGAGATGGGAAAGGACAGTTGGCACTTAGTAATGAAAATCCATTGTGAGTAGAAAACCCAACAAAAGCCTTTTGGTTTTTACTTAGTTCCTACTTCAATAAAATGCAAGCTTAGAAGCTACAGGAGATGAAGATGGATAGCTGTGCAGGTGCCTGATATGAAGTATCTTATATATGGCATGCTAAGGAAATGACTCCTTAGTTATATTGAGAAAAAAACATTTCAACAATTGAGTGAGGAAGAAAGGATATAAAGAGAAGAGACTGGTCTGTGAGACCAGTTGGAAGACAGTTAATGGTAATCAGGATTAAATACAGTGAAGGCTGGGACTGAAACAGTAGCTGTGAGGCTGTGAGAAACATCACCAGGAATGGATTCAAGAGATTTTTAGGAAGTAGAAATGATAAGATTTGGGGACTACCTAGATGGAGGAGTGGGGAGTGGGTACTATTAAGGGAAAAGAAGTTTAGGATGACTCTCAAGATTTTTCCTTGAGTACCTGGGTGTGCTATTCATGAGGAAAGGATTATTTTAGGAGAAGCAGGCAGCTGGCCAGGTTGAGGTCAGGGAGAATGTGAGAGGGAAAGATAAGAAAGGATATAAATAATTCAGTTGAATTTCAAACATTACTTTGCTTTGAGAAAACATGGTGGAATCCTGTGACCTGAAAGAATAAAAATTAGGGTAACTGGCATGTTGAAGCAGGCTAAGGAGAGTGAGTTTCATGGGACAGTACTGATTAGGAAATTTTAGTGGAAAATAAAGTCTAGAATCAGATACTTATTCTTGGAGTCATTTTTTCCCAAATTTTCTTTAATGGCACCCATCCCCCATTTCGTTAACCAAAAAGTAGACTGGCTTATTCAAATGGTTTAACCTTATGATGTGTCTGGGAGTCCTTGGAGAGTAGCTGCTTTAAAGAGTTATCTATGTGATGAGGCAGTACGGTAATGAGGCAAGTTCAAGTACCAGCTGTATGAATTGCTAGTTAAATAACCTTGTGTAAACCACTTAACCTTTTTGGGTTTCCATTTGCTCTCCTCTAAAATAAGAAGTTGAACAGTATGATCTCTGAGAAGGCTTTTAAATAGTAAAAACCCTATGATTTTATGACTGTGAATAACTTGATACCTGTAGGATTAACATCTTCAGAAACTTTAACAGCAGCCCTAACCGGTTTGGCTCAGTGGATAGAGCGTCGGCCTGCGGACTGAAGGGTTCCAGGTTCGATTCTGGTCAAGGGCATGTACCTTGGTTGTGGGCACATCTCCAGTG